ACACACACACACACACACACACACACACACGTACATACGTGCACAGAAGATAGCAACATTGCATACTAACCAGGCAGTGTAATATACCGCTGCAGAAACATACCGATATGCAACGTTTTTTCACAAAATGACGGAGAGGCTAACATGGAGGGATGGTGTAAGCGTGTGGAGGAGTTTGTTGAATGACTTTCAATATCGATAGATAGGCTTAAACTTAGGGTTATTGTCGCTCTTGATTTACCCTTTATTTAAGTTCTCTTTGATATCCATTGAATGATGATATTGGATAGCAATAAGGGAACAGTCTGTCTGGTTAGCATCTATCGCTTCATAATTGTTTCTTTGATATCTTTCATAGCATCTGATTCATTGCGAATCAAAAAGTATGAGTGGAATTAAATTCTCATTGGATTATAAATATCGAAATGATACATGACCAATTGAGGTCAGTGGTAGTCTGGGATTACGTGGTTTGAACGTGAATACATTTGTTTTTTCGACTGTTGACTTTTCTGCAACAATGAGTAAAGCATATTATTCAAAAAACTATTAATAATAATGTATGACAGTTTTCTAATAAATGGATTGTGATGTATGAAAGTTAAATACACATATATCGTAAGAATTCTTCTTTCCGGAAGTAAATTCCGTTACTAGAAAAAGTGTTTGAGCTGTTGGATATACTTGTCAGTTAATTGCAGTGGTTATCTGTTCTTTGTCACTGAAGGAAATTTCAGATGGCAGCAACAACTCAAAATGGTACTGTCGATGGTAGTGATTACAAGAGGCCAGCTTACAATGAAATGACTAGCAAAGATTATTACTTCGATTCATATGCCCACTTTGGGATACATGAAGTTTGTGGTTCAACCTTTTAAAATTATGAATAGGAAAAATTTATGAATCACGATTTTGAGATTTCTTTTATAGCTCATTCTCGGAAGCTGTTACATCGATGTCTGAGAAACTGCAAAGCAGAGAATGTTATAATTCAAGATGTTTGAGTAATAATCTCTCAGTTGAACGCGCTATCAAATTAAATTTCTTTGATACACAGGAAATGTTGAAAGATGAAGTACGAACGATTACATATCGGAATGCCATTTATCACAACAAGCATTTGTTTAAAGACAAGATTGTTATGGATGTCGGCTCAGGAACGGGTATCTTGTCCATGTTTGCAGCTAAAGCTGGTGCCAAAAAAGTTATTGCGGTAAGCTTTTTTGCTTATTAAAATATTTTCATGTGTTTTCTTGAAGATTGTAAATATATTGTAAGACTAATTCTAATAAGACAGTTCTTTGAATTCGTTTTAGTAAACATTACATTTGTGAATTGTATTCTTTAAGAAAACTGCAGTAGCACAGTCGAAAAGTAGTGGAGGTTTTAGATAAGCTTACCGGTTAAGATTTTTTGTTTATACTTTGTAGATTGAATTTTCGAATATGGCCACACAATCCAAGCAGATTGTAAAAGATAATAATTTGGAAAATATTATTGAAGTTATCCATGGGAAAGTTGAAGATGTGAAAGAGTTACCTGACGGCATTGAAAAGGTTCTGTTTGTTTGAATTGTAAAAATTCCTAAAGGTTTTCTACTCCTTTCACATTTTTGTTTGTTTCTAATGGTGTAGGCAACATAACGTTGTGCATATAAAATGAAAAGTCGCAAACTGCTGCGAATAAAGGAATGTGAATGCATATTTTTTGCGGCATCATTATTTGCTCATTATGAAGGTTGATGTTATTATATCCGAGTGGATGGGTTACTGTTTGTTCTATGAATCGATGCTGAATACAGTGATTTATGCTCGTGATAAGTGGTTGAAATCGGATGGTGCCCTGTTTCCAGACAAAGCGAAGCTCTTCTTATGTGCCATTGAAGATCGGCAGTATAAGGAGGATAAAATCAATTGGTATATAAACATTCAATAGCTTATTTATTTAATTGTATTTAATAATTTTATCAGGAATAAATGATTCATCGCAGTTAGGTTAGCTTTCATTGTTGTCACCTGAATAAACAGAATGAGTTGTTTTTTTTTTAGGTGGGATAATGTTTATGGCTTTAATATGTCGAGTATTCGTCGTGTAGCGATCACAGAACCATTAGTTGATGTTGTTGATCACGCTCAAGTTGTTACCAACAATTGCCTCATTTGTGTAAGTTCTTTCAATCCTTGTCTGCGCAATAGTTACTTCTGTTATATGTTGTAACTTCAGTTCAAAATTTTTTATATTTTCTTTAGTAGCTTATAATTGGGACTTCCAGATTTCGTTCTGAAGTTTTTATCCATCTATTATGAGCTTCGATACTGTACTACTAATGCAAGAGAGTTTTTATTTCTGATTATTGCTGTTGCAGTAAAAGCTGTTTAATAATGTGATAATCGCTACAGTAAGGAGAAAAAATTCTATGTTAATTGTCCGGAGTTTCTTCTGAAATAACATTGTAGTTATGGTTGCACTACAAATTTGTCTCATATTAATCAACTTGTGATGATTTATCGACCACATAAAGTTCATATCCATGTGTGAGAATCTGACGATGCTGATAAATAATCTGGAAGGTTTTTAGGATATCGACTTATACACTGTCAAAGTAGAAGATCTGACATGGACAAATAATTTCTCTCTGCGAATAACAAGAAACGATTATGTGCAAGCATTGGTTACATTCTTTACAATTGAATTTTCCAAATGCCATAAACGTACTGGTTTTTCTACCGGACCTGATTGTCAATACACTCACTGGAAACAGACAGTTTTTTATCTGCAGGTCGATTAGTGTTCAAAATATGAACATTTTCTGCTTTTCTCAATACTAACTTCTAACTTTGATTTCAGTTTTTTAATATGTATCTAAAATCGCCGATAATAACAAGGTGCACTGATTTGTTGTAATTTTCAGGATGCGCTAACCTGTAAAAAGAATGAAGAAATTACAGGAGCATTTTCAGTAGCACCGAATGCTCGGAATGAAAGAGATTTAGATTTCAAAATCTCCGTCAAGTTTCATGGTGATGTGTGTGACGTGGAAGAGGAAAATACATATACGATGCACTGAACTAGTTGCTTTGAACTTTTCAAAATTCAAAACAGTCACTGGACTGTTTTGAATTTTTTTTATAAGTTGTGATTTTGTTAGAATGTTGAAAGGAGTGTCTCGTTCAGACCTCGAGTTCCGTTCCTTTATTTTTGTTTTCAAGATTTTTTCGATGTTGCATTCGGAGATTTTCTCATAATTTTTTTAATACTTCAGGGAGATGGGCTAATGAATTTTCAAAATTCATCAGCTCCATTTTTGTTAATGTAACGCTGTCCGTTACCATTTCAGCTGAAGAATTTATCCACTTATAAAAATACCGAAAAATCTACAAACTTGTTTTAATTCTTCTCTGTGTTTCAGTTGTTTGTTCTTGACTTCTCATCTTAAGTTTTATTATTTCACGCGTGTTATGCAAATGAATAATGTTAGCCAGTATTCTTGATTGCATTTTTTGAACCATTTTGTCGGTTTACGGTAATCCCTGACGGTTGCCATACTTGATACAGTGTTTCAACAACTCCAATTGCTATGTTTTTTACTATTGCAGATGAATGGAATTAAGATTAAGGATATAAAAAGTTGAGAAAAAAAAATGTAGTCTAGTGAGTTTTGTTTTAAGATATCAAATTTATTGCTTAATACATCAAAGTCGTGGTTTAATCATTTATTGCTGTTGATACAAATTTTTGATATCTGGAATAAAGTGGGAATGCTCGGTTGCTAAGGTTTTGTTTTTAATTGAAGATGAATTTTTAGGAAAATATTTTTGTTTTCATAATTTTTATGCAGTTGCTTTCTCATAGCATTCAGTCTTTTTTGATTGCATCGGACGGTCGTTTGATCACAATCATGTCAGATACTTATAGGTTTGCAATTAAAATTGTTTACTTTTTCCTAGGAATGTGTTATTTAATAAGAGAAAGGTATTCTGGCGAGATTTCTTTGGAAGCTGTTTCTTTTTTCACCACTAAATGAACGAATTATCGTCGGAGTTGTCATCATGTTTTTAGAAATTCAAAAAGTATGTTTTTAAATTAATGCCTATCAAATATCCAAAGCAAGTTTGTTTTCAAGGTAATGACGTTAAAGTTTGTACTATTATGAGCTTATCGAACTCGTAATAGTACAAATTTTCGGTATAGGTAGCATTTTAATTACGAAGGTTTAGTACGAGACCAATAAAAGGTTTTGATATTAACTGTTTTTGAAGGGATAATCAATATACAAAGGAAGGCAAAATAGAAAAAAGAGATTCCAGCAAGACTTCTTCATCAGTGGAGGAACTTGGTGCAACTCAACAATCTAAAAATGGTAAATTGGATGCTACCATTTCTTCAGCAGCTGAAAATCACTATGACAGAAATGTATCGACGAATGTTAAACAAATTTCAAAAAGAATTCCAAGGAAAGACTACAAACTAATCCAGAAAGTAGAAGAGAAAGTTGTGCAGGAAAAAAGTGTACGAACTGGAAGTCCTAGACGGCGAAAGTAAGTCTTTTATCCTTTTACAGATTCATGTTGAGAATTATAAAAGAAAGAAACTTTTCTAAACTTTGAATTTCAAGAAACGATAAGCTAGGACAAACTTTTACTTATTTTAGGGCCACATTGTTACATTTTGCTCCAACAAACGAGTTACCGGATGTTGCACGTGTACAACTTTTGCTCAGCAATATTAGTGAACGGCCATTACAGTTCAGCCTGAAAAGTGAACCTGGCGTAGATATCTCTGTATTATTTATTTTCACAGAAATGAAAAGACATCTTTAGCTTAAGCACTTTCAAGTTCATTGATTTTGGTACTGATCTTCATTTAATGTATGTAAGAAAAATGGAAACCAATAAAATTATAAATGATTTTGAATTATTTTCATCAGTAGGTTCATCTTTTCATATTTAGGCATTGCCAAGTGCAAAAGGCCATATTAGTGCTCACGGTTCAGCAAAGTGTACTTTAACATGGCGCCGTGAAGCAAATGTCGAGAAATGGTCAGACGCGCAACAGCCAAAAATGATTCTCGTTCTGGATTTTCTTCGTGATAAAATGAAAAATGAAAAACATACTCTTACAAGACTTATTGGCAAGTTTTTCGATTTTCTAACTACTTTATTATGTTTCTGGTTTCTCATCATTTTTGATAACCCTTTTTTAGGTAAAGTTGTATCCGGTCAAACTTGTGATTCAGATAGACCACCCGTTGAACAACTAATGCTGGACGCAGCTACTAACGAATATTCTCGATCGATGCCAAAGTTCTTGTTTATATTATTGGTAAAAGAATAAGAGGATAAAACATACTTCAATTGGCAGCGAGAATGTATCACCAAAAAATTCGCAAAATTTTGTTTTAGATAAGCAAAGTTTAATTGCTACGAAAGTAATGATAGATGAATTTTTTATTATATTTGTATCATAAAACAACATCCATGGTAATAATACAAATTCAATAGATGGAGCAGAACATCTAAAATTTCATTGATTTCTTTTTAAAGATTCTCTATATAATTTTAGGGAACCCCTAGTACTTGAGCAAGCGTATACTCCTAAAAAAAAATTGGAAAGAGAGAAAGATGAGGCGAACATGGGAGATATAGTGAACAATGTTGCGAATTGGCTCAGCCAGCAGTCAAAAAATTCCCTACTTGGATTATTTTTGTTGATGATATTCTTCTATTTTATAGGGACTTTAAATAGTTCCAAACAAAAACAGCATGATAAGTAGTCTATTTTTGACATAGATCATCTATCTATATATGAAGTTGACTTTAATTTCCACAGTTCAAAGTATATTGAAAAATCTCCACAATTCTGATAACCGTCTAACTTTTGATATCTTGCTTCTAGGTTTGTTATCCAAAGTACTTTTGCTAATTTAACTGTGCCGCATAAAATTTATGAAAACTAATTGAAACGAAATAAAAATTATCTAAAAACATTGTTGTTTCTCATCGAAATGGAAATTGGTTATCCAGAACATCGATACATTATATTGTATTCAGGGTGTAATCTGTGAAATGATCAATTTATTTCATGTTTCATTAATTTGGTGATTGCTTTTTGCAGTCTTCAAATGAGAGTTTTATCTAATAGTTAAATAAGCAGTCTTAGGAGTTGCAAGATGATTATCGTTATTTGTGACTCTCGCAAATCCCAAAATTTTCCCGAAATATAACGAGTATCCACTGCTATTTAATTGGAATAATAGAAAATTTTATTCAGTTTTTAAAAAAATTTCTTTAATTGTATGTATTCCATAAAATATTTGACTGCATATACCCTATAAAATAGCTTGGAATTATTGACGATAATGTGAAGCGTTGGATTTTGGGCATATTATTTGAAAGTAAGATCATTATTTATCCTTTCTTCTTTGCAGATGTTAGTTGTCGTGAGCCAACAGCGTGTCAATGTTATTTATATTTGAGTAGTGATTGTTTAAATACAGTTTTAAAGGTTGACATTTTTTTTTAAAATAAACTCGCAAAACCTTCAGTTTCATTCCATCTACTTGGGACAGTTTGGCAGTTAGTATTTAAAGTTGAGGAAGCTGACTCATGACTGGTTTTTTTAGCTTTAGACCGGAATTGTTGCATTTAACAGTACTGTTGTGTGAGTCTGAAAGCGATGTGCTTCATTTATTTAGCAGATAATGTCCATTTCAATGTTTCATTTAATTTTCAGATTTTTTTAACGATAGTTTTCACGTTATGATATGGAGAAGGGGGTCGAAGTATGCCCTCATTCTAATAGCAACAATAATTCCGTGCAAGTATTGGATGAGGCTATTTTAATACTGAAACGCTGCTTAACTCTAACAAATGAAGCTACTGCTGATAAATGTATCGAAGGAACTGATAAAATGGCAAAAGAACAAGCTGAGACGGAAGAGGTGAGTTATGATTTCAGGTATTTTTCGAATAGTTTCTGAAGTTAATTATATATGTTAGTGTATCTTTTTTTGCATATGTAAGCTTCTAATTAACAAATTTAAAACTATACTCATCATAATACATATTCCTATTGTGCGATTATTTCTTGAACATATTATTTGTTGTCTTCCATCTTTGTGTACCAACATGTTCAGACTGTCACGAAGAGGGTTGCTGAGACGAACAATGCTCAAGTCACGCAATGTACAATGGAAGGATGTACACCAAATGGTTCAGTTGCGGAAGCAGAAAGTCAAACAATAGTATCCAGTATAAAAATAAGACATATTCATATAGTTGAATACGAAAATGAATATCAAATGGTTGATATTATGCGACTTATCATGAAAGTACTTAGCGAGCCTTATTCCATCTATACTTATCGTTATTTCATACACAATTGGCCAAAATTGTGTTTGCTGGTAAGTCTTTTGCACAAAATCATTTGTTGAATGGAAATGAGTGTATGATTTTACTTCCCAAAGTTATTTACCAAGATGCATGCTTGTTCCAACTTCTATCCAGAGATGATACAGCAATTTGCAATTCCATCGGCATTGACTTTCTATCTTTACCGCGTCCTTCATTTACCTGTATGATTAATATCTTAGTGATGGATGTGTTCTTCCTAAAAAATCAGTGAAATCTGCGAATTTATTTTAGCATGAATTTTATGGAAAAAAGTTCATGCTAAAATGAACTCACAGATTACTCAAGTAATTCATGCTTCATGCTAGGCACTGGATCAACACGATAACAAATATGTTGGTGCGATTGTCTGCAAATTGGATTTAAGTCGAGAAAATCGTCGCCGTGGATACATAGCAATGCTTGCAGTCGACGAGTCATGTCGTAAAATGGGTATAGGTTAGTGGAAATAAATTCTATTGTTTTAAAAATATTTCATCTATTCTACCCGAATTTTGCTAACATTTTCCATTTTCAGGCACTCGTTTGGTGCAAAAAGCTATATCAAATATGCAAGAAATGGGCTGCGATCAAGTAAATATTTACATTTGTCTACGTTCCCTTTGTTTTTGTCAATATTTAATTAGAGAACAGCACTTTAATCGGTTGATATGACAGAATCTTTTCATATCCCTATTAGTCTCACTTTTTCCTGAACAATATGTGAACTGCCGTAAAGTTCTTGCTAATTTTCAGGTTGTGTTGGAAACCGAAGTAACTAATTCAGATGCTCTACGCTTGTATAGTAATTTAGGGTTCATCCGGGAGAAACGGTTATTTCGTTACTATTTGAATGGTGTGGATGCTTACAGGCTTAAACTCTTCTTAACTACCGTCAATGAATCTTTACTTCTTGATCCACCAATGTTTTTCGGCAATACTCAATGCGTTCCATGAATTGTTTCATACTCATGTTGGAACAATAGTAGGTAATAATCTATCAGGATCATCATTAGTTATATGACTAGAAAATTAAATGAATGTTTCGTCTTTATGTTTCTATTTAATAAGGACTTGCAGTAAATAATTATTCAACAGTCCAGAATTGTGTCATTGATATCTATACAACAAATCATTCTATATCAAGCTTTAAAACAAATCATTCTATATCAAGAAATATAGGGATATCATTCTTTTTTCTCAAATTTAGCAAAGATAAGAGTAGCTAATAAAATATGCTTCTTGTTGTGAATCAATATTGGAAAAATACCAGAAGTCTGATATATATACCAACGGCTGTGATAGTTCATGGAGTTCATGAAGATTTAAGGACCAATTTTATTTTTAAAACATTTACTGATTCTCTGATCTTCAACTACTGTCCCATGACTGTTCAGTCTTTTTTTTGTGAAATTGGCCTGCGCTCCCATTGATTTCACTTATATATCCAAATTTTAGTTCTTTGTATTGCTTTTTCCTCTTTTTTCATATTCCTCGTTATGCATCTGCTATCTTTTTTTGTGTGTCGAAGTATTTTGCATAACTACCACGGGGAAAAATAAGTGACTCCATCCTTTGTAAATATACAGAGAATTAAAATTTTTGAGAGTGTTAAGTGTGACTTGTAAATGGCTCGTTGACTCGTGCGCTCGTCAGTTCTGCACTTCCAAATTTTAATTCTTATGGTTTCTCAAGATGAGAGAAAGAGAAAAAGCGCTATTTGCAACTCACACTTATCCTCAATTGCGATTGAAATGCGACTGAAATAGCGTTTGCAATTGGAACACAGCAGTCTTTCGCCTTGGATAATTTTCGTTGTCATGTTGTGGTGTGCACAAAGTTCTTTGTTTCAAAGCTTGTTATGCCAATTTAATAATTCTTCCACAAATTTTATTTCTCACTGGTATGAAGGAAAATAAAGGAGTTTTGTCCACAACATCAACTAACTGTGTCGAAATCTGTTCGATCAAATTTCAGACCGGCATAGAAACAATGTAAAGGCCACGACAAAAAATGCGAGTAGCCGAGATTCCATTTCTTCAAAGATTTCGGTTAGAAGGGAACAAATAAAAAATTTGATATCCACTTGCTCTTAATAGATTTTTGATTTTTATTCAGAACTATTGAGGTAGCTCGTACCGAATGTAAAGTAGGTTAAAAATGATTTAGAATTTGGTCCCAAGTTTTTTGCAAATATCTGTGAGCTATAAAAATATGCATACGGACACAAAAAAATCGGAGAAAAACAGATACCAACATAATAGGAACAGGGTAGCAGTTTGGGCTAATATTCTAAAAATTTAAAGATGGGAATTCGAAAGAACAGCAAAAATGGTCTCGAACAGATAAGATTAATCTTGAAACAGAAGTTCTGGCCAATCAAGGAGAGGTGTACAATGTGCAGCAAATCTCTAACAAATTTACATAACGGCAGAACAATAACTGGCGATGAATACAGTGATGAGTCCTTATTTTCGGCGTTTCGGGCTCGGTCCACGGCCTTTTGATGTAGGTTTGCGTTTCTGAGATGTCTCATGGATACGTCCTTCTTCGCCACGATCGCGTGCTCGATCAGCTAGAAAGGAAAATCAGAAAGATTTTGAGCTCTGACAAACTATTTAATATGGAGCTGACGGAATCTTAAAAAAGATTTCCGAAAGCAAAGTAAAATGGGATAATCTAGGTAACAAACAAATAACCGGTCGATTTCCATTGAAGTAAATGTAATATTAATGTAATATGATTCATTTACCTCGCTGAGCTTCTGCTTCCAAATCGCTCCAGTCCTTGCCTTCACTTTCGTCAGAATCCACACTCGCCTCAGATTCTGAAGAAGAATAATTTATTGACAAATAACTTCGATTTTTTCTTAAACAGCTTTATATGACTAACCAGATTCAGACGTCGCCTCCGGTGATTCTTCTTCGTCTTCATCCTCATCAGAACCTTCTGAAATAAAAGTTTAGAAATCTCTAGAAACAGAGTTTCAAATTAAACAGTTAACAAAGTTGTACAAAAAAGTACCAGTTTCATCTTCACTTGGTGTATAAGCATCTTCACTTTCTTCATCCTCCTCTTCATCTTCATTCTGAAAGAAAAAGAAGTAATTTTCAAATATTTTCCAAATAGTAAGTGAATTCAATAGAAATAACAAGTCACATCGCTATCTGTTGCCAAAAAATTCCATCCACCATTTGCGAAGAAATCTTCCGGATCGTCCAAGATAGTCTTCATAATTTTCGCCCAATTTAATGACTGAATTCCTTCAGAATAATATATATCGCAGGAGCTAAAATCCACAATGAAACATCAAATGATGTAAAGAGCAAATCAAGAAATGCAAAACTATAGAAAATAAAAAATAAATGTACTGTACATTATAGTATAGCTAATACGTATAGAAAATGGATGTTAAATATAGCACGGAGTAGAATGGAAGATTCCTGGAGTTCTTCAGAACTTTGAATTGAATTATGCACACAATATTTTTGTGCAGCTCGCCTAACATGTATTTTTTCTTATTCTTAAATATAAAATCAACACAGCATCACTAACTTGAGCCATTCCTTGACATTGTCAAGCGACGTCATTGGAATCTGTTGAACCATTTGGGTCTTTTTAGAATAATCTTTGAAAATGAAAACCATATCGAAATTCTTCAGTTGGAATGATACTCGTTCAAAGTGTACGAATTCCACTTCATCCAAAGTTACAACGAATGGAGGCTAGAAATAGTTCCAATTACTTTTCTACTGATTTCATCATTTCATAAGTCGTGAAATTAACAAAGTGTAAATATATTCTACTTGGAAATAATATCACATACCAACTATATGAGGAACTTTATCAGTGTAAAGTGCTTATAACCTTCACTTTGCAGTTATAGGGACTGTAAGGATACACCTGCGGGACTTGTTGAAAGCTCTATCCTTATCATTATGGATCATCGAATATTAATTTCAATATATATAAATACGAACCCATTCACTCAAATTGACCAAACATGATGAAGTTGGCTTCAGTGTGCAAGATGATCGATAAGGAACGCCGAAAAACCCAAGTTCATTAAATGGTACATCAAAATCAAATGCTTCGTTTGTCTGACGAACAACCTACATAGAAAATTAAAGTATTGGCATGAATTTATAAAATATGTATTACAATAATCGGAAAATGAAAAGAACACATTAAAACTGCTGACACAAAAGTAATTGTTCTCGCTTGAGAATACAAGCAAAATTATAATATAGCTTTTGTGTGACTATGAGAAACTAAAAACTAAGAGATTCAAATTTCAATTAATCTGAGAATAAACACGGCTGTGGATTCCCCCATAATTTACGTCTTATTTTTCAGTTAATTGCATCTTACTTCTTTACAACACTGAAACTGCGAAATATTCACCTTGTCACAGAAATTTTGGAAAACTTGATTCAAGCGCTTCCTCATTTCCCGTTCAAGTTGTTCACTCTGAACATCATCACGATCCTGCATATGATGATATTTGCCCAAATCGGTAGTGATTTCACCAACTTCCGTATAAAACTGAATATCTTGGTATTTACGCTTACCCCATAAAACTGGATTCTGAAAATAGAATTACCGCATTTATGAATAATATATATACTCCTGAACTTGGTGGTTCTATATTTTATCGCCAATTCTTCTATTCAATATTCTACCACTTTTTGTTGTGAAATCATGCAATGTTTGCAGCCATTAATAAGAATCAAATGATGCTTACCATCCAAATTATTTCATTCATCAACGAATGATAGTTAATAGCAAAAGATGACAATATAAATATCTTTAAATCAGTCTTCACTTTAGACCTTACTCTTCAAATTTGTAAGAACAATAAGTATTTCAATGCAGTTATAGGTCTGGTCCATGAAATTCTTAATCACATGTTTTGTACTTATGACAGCTGTATCGAAGATGCAGAAATCCTTCCGTAACTCACTTTCAATGTAAAATGTATCAATATGATCATTTCGTTATCGCAAGGCTGGAAAAATGCATGTTTTATATTGTTATATAGTACATCGATTTTGTCACCCCGCAATGAGGTATATCGGAAACCTGAAATTGCAGAAGTATGATTATAAATTTCAAATTGAAGTAATCAGAAAAACATGAGATCATAAAACTCAGAAGTTCTACAGAATCTCAAAAATTTTACTCAATAGTTTGCGACAATAACTTACCATTAGCATGCGCTTCCAACGAACCACTAATTCGTTTGGTGATGATATTCGGCCTAACAAAAAGATCCTTCAACTTTGGATTGCCCTTTGCCGTTGACAAGATCAGTTTATCTTGTTTCACAGCTCCTTCTTTCTCGCGCTCTTCTGCTTCCTGAGATCTTCACACTGAATCTTTGTCCCACAATTTTAAGAAAGTTTTCACTTTTTTATAAAATCCCACTAACAAGGGTTTTACCTGTGTCCTGAATTTTTTTTGCATTTCTTTGATCAAACGATATGCGGTACTTAAATTACCACTAGGAGCAGTTACTTCTCCATGTTCTTTCAAATTGCTACTTCGATAGGTTCTGCAAATAATAGTGGAATAAAACTGAAAAGTAAACTTACTACAAACAAGTTATTAAAGAATTATATTTTTCCTTTTTTACTAGATCACAACTTCAGCGTAGTCAGATAGGCGATAAAAAATCTTAGAGAAACTTACAATTCTTTCACATAAGTTGACAGTGGATTTGGAAACTGCAACTGATCCCTCCCAATTTGTGAGCCTGGATGCATGAAGTTTACTCGCAAATAAGTATAATCACCCTCCACAGATTGACTCGTATTTTTGATCATCGAAATGTGAAATGGTACGGGAACTCCAAATATTGGTAATATGACAGAATCATGACGGCGATCTGAAAATCAAGCAGTAAACACTGTATAAAACTAGCTAAGAACTAACAGCAAAAACTTTATTACCTATAC